AAGTGCCATTGATACAGAAAAGAAAGAAATATAGGCTAATTGAAGTGACACATCACACTAAATAATTCAATCACGTTAAAACAAGTTCTAATTAATAGCAAAAAGCTCCATACTAAATGATGCTAGGGATTAAAAATTAATCTCCAGTACATTACCACTAACAACTAACACATGAATAAGACTTGTACCTACAAAAAGTCAATACTTTTCCTATTTTTATACAACTGCAGTCACAATTGCACTAGAACATAATGGCACAAGAGTCCAGGGGATTGCCCACCACTTAACACATTATCTACTCTGTTTCCTGCACCCGTTATCTTTTTCTCACTTCTATTTACCTTCAACCAATAAACTTCCAACTATAACATATATGAATTAAGCTTAATCTCCATGTACCTGCAACATCTGAGTTATTCCAATTATGGAAAGGAAGATCTCTTAGCTCCCCCCTTCGAAATCATGGTTCTTTTCATGAATGTTCATGGTAGATGATCCAAGAGTTCTTTTTTTTTTTCCCTACCTCAGCTAATACGTTTAAATTTCAATATAGACCAAGTTGAATAGTTAGCAACATTGTAAAAGCCTAATTTAGAATTGGGAATCTACAGAGCATGAATATCAGTCTCAAAATGTATATATGGTGACAAACTAAAAGTAAAAATGCATAAAGAAAGCCAAGAATCAGGAGCCAAATAAAGGATCAATTATTGTTGACATGGCCTAATCAATAGAAAGAGATATAATACAACATCGGAGTTTCAATGGATTAGCAGTTAAAAATGGTAGCATGTAATTGGGAAACACTGGACTGACAATCTAGCAACCAATTCATGCTTTGGCATTAAAGAACAACATAATTACATTAAAACCGAAACAAACACATGTAGATAAAAGTAAAGAAATTAAATACATATGAATTCTAACGAAGACAACTGAGCTACCTCTTGGAAAAGCTAGTCTCGTTAGCTGTAACGGAGATCTTGTTCTTGTCACGGATGACAGTTACGGAATCTCCGAGTGCACCGGGCTTTCCTCCGACCTTGATGCGCTCCTGGAGGAATTTTTCGAGTGAAGCAATGTCCATTATCTTATCCTCTACCGGCTTCGAGCAATCGATAACAAAAGTCGCTGCCTTCTTCTTCCCTCCCTTCTGGGCGCCGGCTGAAGCTCCTCCTTTACTCATTTTTGTTCACTTTGAATCAAATTCTCCTACAACAAAACTGCATTTTCACAAATAACAAAAATTAATGTGTTGTATTAATCACAAGCTTGTAAATTTACAATACAGATTGATTAATAGGTAAACTGACCGAATGAGAGCAACGGCGAATTGGATGGAGAAATGCGATTAGGGTTTGGCCTTAGTTTTTATACACAGTTGGGTAATGCCCTATGGGCTATGACTGTATGGGGCACAGAATTTGGACCAGCACTCTCAATTGGGCCATACCAATTC